AATAGATCCCAATAGATGTTATCTACTAGTTAAATTAAAAATAGTCAATGCACATTGAAACATACTAAATGAAAATACATGCAATCTATCCAAAATAGGTCAAATGTTTAAAAATGACAAAATAAAAGAAAGGCTCTATTTGGCTAAGTAAGAGATAATCAAGTAATCAAGGGTTAGGTAAAAGGCCTTGGGAACTTTAATGATGGCTATAATCACTTTCCCTACGACCAATGCACAAGTGTAGCCCCAAGTAAGAGAGAAAACAAGTTCTAGAGGATTAACAAAACCAATGAACATAGAACTCTCAATGGTTGAAGGCCCCTTTCATATGGTTTATTCTTAATCAATTACACTCAACCAAATGGTTTATTGCTTCAAAATAGATTTTAACTAAAGAAAACAACATTTCAAGAGTTTAAACTCAAATGCAAAAACTAAGATCATCTTCAAAACTCAAGATTGCTCACAAAACAAAAGTTTTTTTTTTTTCAAAAACACACTTTCCCCCACACTTAAACAATGCATTGTCCCTAATGCATGCAAAACACATAATGGGAAGAATTAAATCAAATTTGTACAGCATGTAAAAGTGTGGAAACATGTCAAATTTTTTTTTTGAAAACATCACTAAACAGCAAGGAAATAAAGAAAAACAAATAAACAACAAAAACTAACATAACTAAGGACAAGGAATTTCGTTTTTCTTTTTTTTTTGTTTTTGTTTTTTTAACCTAATGAATCAGGTTGCATCTCCCCCCACACTTGAACTCAAAATGACATTCACAAACACAAACACAAGCAAAGAATGGTGTACCACATGTGTGCATATGTGACAGCAAGCATATCCCAATTAGTGCTCCACTTGTGTACTTTGTGAATCAATCAAATCAATCAAAAAGAAATAAGAAGGAGAGATACAACCTTTGAAGACTCATGGAGGATCTTTGAATCTCATTTCAGCAAGCAATGTGGAAGATTCACCCTCATGAAACTTTTTGCACAAGTGGCCATTTTCCTTGAATGTTAAGCCACTTTGAGAATCTTTGAGGTTGAGAGTGCCATAGTCAAAAATTTCATCCACAATGTAAGGGCCCTCCCATTTGGATTGAAGTTTGCCACCAATGAGCTTGAGCCTTGTCTTGAACTTTAGCACTTTATCTCCCACTTGAAAATGCTTCCTCAAAATACATTTATCATGAATGAATTTTGCTCTTTTCTTGTACAATTTAGAGCTCTCATATGCATCCAATCTCAACTCCTTCAATTCTTGAAGTTGGAGCTTCCTTGAGGCAGCTACACCCTCCTCACCAAATGCACAAGCCTTCACAGCCCAATAGGCTTTATGCTCAATCTCCACTGGGAGATGACATTGCTTACCATAGACCAACCTAAATGGAGACATCCCAATGGGTGTCTTGAATGCAGTCTGCTATGCCCAAAGTGCCTCCTCAAGTCTTGAGCTCTAATCCTTCCCATTCGGTCTTTCAATCTTTTGGAGGATAGACTTGATCTACTTGTTTGAACACTTGGCCAACTCATTTGTTTGAGGATGATATGGGGTTACCACATTGTGTAAAACACCATATTTCTGAAGTAAAGAGGAGATAGTCTTGTTGCAAAAGTGTGTCCCTTGATTTGTGATGATTGCTCTTGGGATGCCAAACCTGTAAAACACATGAGACAAAAGAAAGTTTTGCCATAACTTTGGCATCATTAGTTCTAGTGGGGATAGCCTCAACCCACCTAGAAACAAAATCAACACAAAGCAATATATATTCACAACCATTAGAAGAGGGAAAAGGACCCATGAAATCCATACCCCAAACATCAAAGATCTCACAAAATATAATGGGCACCTGTGGCATTTCATGTCTCTTTCCCAAACTTGTTGACATGCATGACATGCTTTGCAAAATTATTGTGCACCTTGAAAAAGAGATAGCCAATATAAACCACAATCTAAGACCTTCTGCCCGGTCCTCCTAAGCCCAAAATGACCACCACATGCATAAGTATGACACATCCTCAACACATCATCAATCTCAATATTAGTAACACATCTCCTACTGACACCATCACTACACAATTTCCAAAGAGCAGGTGAATCCCAAACATAGTATCTACTTTCCCTAGCAAGCTTCTCCCTAGCATGTCTAGTAATCCCATTTGGAAACACATTATGCACCAACAAATTGACCAATTCAGAATACCAAACAACATCATGGGAAGAAATAGCACATAATGATTCGTCTCTAAACTCATCACAAGGGAAATCAAAAGAGGAATTCACCATAATGGAGTCATAAGGCAATCAACTCAAGTGATCCGCCACATGATTTGTTGCTCCACTCCTATCAATGATCTCCAAATTTAACTCTTGAAGTAGAAGCATCCATCTAAGCAAATGTGGCTTGATGTCCTTCTTCTTTAAAAGGTACTTCAAGACTGCATGATCTGTAAAACAAACAACCTTGGAATGCAACAAGTAAGATCTAAACTTGTCAAGAGCAAACACTAATGCATACATAAGGTAGCTTGTTTTCCCTTTGTCCCAACATAGCCCCAACAGCAAAATTAGAGGCATCACATGAAATCTCAAATGGAATCAACCAATTAGGACTCCTCAAAATAGGAGGGAAAACAAGCTTAGTCTTTAAAGCATCAAATGCATCTCTACAACTTGGAGAGAACTCAAACTTGACATCTTTTTGAAATAATTGAGACAAGGGATGTGCAATCTTTGAAAAATCTTTAATAAATCTTCTATAAAAACTCACATGGCCAAGGAAAGATCTCAAGTCCTTGACATTAGTTGGATAGGGCAGAGATGAAGTCACTTCAATTTTGGCCCTATCCACCTCAATGCCACGGCTTGAAATCAAGTGGCCCAAGACAATCCCTTGCTCAACCATAAAATAGCACTTCTCAAAGTTCAAAACCAAGTTCTTCTCCACACATCTAGCAAGGACTTTATCAAGATTTCTCAAGCAAGAAGAATAAGAATCCCCATGAATTGTGAAATCATCCATGAACACTTCCATGCAATTTTCAATGAAATCACTAAAAATACCAAACATGCATCTTTGAAAGGTCCCTGGAGCATTACACAATCCAAAAGGCATTCTTCTATATGCAAAGGTACCAAATGGGCAAGTGAAAGTGGTTTTATGTTGATCAACCAGATTAATGCAAATCTGAAAATAACCACTATATCCATCAAGAAAGCAATAATGAGATTTCCCCCCTAATCTTTCTAACATTTGATCAATAAATGGGAGAGGGAAATGGTCTTTCTTGGTTGCCTCATTCAACCTCCTATAATCAATGCATACCCTCCAACTATTTTGTACCCTAGTAGGAATCAATTCATCATGTTCATTCTTTACCACAGTAATTCCACTCTTCTTGGGCGCAACTTACACCAGAGACACCCATTCACTATCACTAATAGGATAGATTATACCTGCACTCAAGAGTTTGGTGACCTCCTTCTTTACCACATCAAGTATGAGAGGATTCAACCTCCTTTGTGGTTGCCTTATTGCCTTGACATTTTCCTCCAACATGATCCTATATTCTTCCATAGGGGTTAGTGAAGAAGAAACAATAATAGGAAGTTGATTACCATTTCTTAAGTAAGAATACTTAAGATGTGAAGAAAGTGGCTTCAACTCCAGATTGGGTGGCTAAATGATGCTTGGAGGGATCTTTTGTACTTGAATTTGCCTTGCTAGATCCATGTCTTCCTCTTTAAGTGGCATGCCCAAGCTTCTCACAGCTGCTGTGTGAAAAATTTCGTCCAGATTGACTTGCTTGGTTCCAACTTTGTGCCTCACATCCAGATCTGATTGGCTTGCTCCAGAATTAATTCCAGGTTCGTCCAGATCTGATTCTAGACTTTCAGCACCAATTTGCACGCCCTTAAAATCATTAACAGCCCCAAAATCACTTTGTTCATGCTTTTCAATTGTCCTTAAACCTGAAACATCACAAATAGAACACTCCTCCAACCTTGGAGAATGATTAGGCACAAAAGGATCAAAGCTGTCAAAATTTCCAGAATTAAATTCAGTAGAAGAAATCAAATGATGTGATGAAATATGACATGTGGAAGATGAACTAGGGCCATCATTAGATGCAATTTCACTCTCATTTCTTGATTCTATCACTGAATTAATAGAATTTCCAGAATTGATACTCAAATCATCAAACTCATCTAATGCAAGCAAATCACTCAAGGAAGCATATGTTTGATCATGTGAAGAACTAGATAACACAAGTGCTTCAAATGGAGTGCAAGTAGATGAGTGAGGCATATCAAGTGTGCTGCCATTCAAATGCTCATGCTCAAGTGAATGCAATTCATCTTGATTTTGTCAAATTAGACAAAATTAACACTGTTATTGCAATTCACACAAATAGAGTCATGAGTGCATGAACAAGTGAAACTAGGCAAAGATGCAACATCATTAAGCTAGGAGGCATAGAAACCTTATCAATGATTCCATCAAGTTTATCATCAATGCAATCCACAAAATGAAGGCTATAATCAACATAAGAGTTTTTCAAGCTATCAAATATGTTAAATTCAATCTTGCTGTCCAAAAACTCCATGGTAAGCTATCAAATATAGTACTTGATGTTATCATAAAAGGTCTCCCAAGGATGAGTGTGCCTTGGCCTCCTTCTTGCATATCCAACACATAAAAATCTGCTGGAAAAACCAAGTCCTTGACCTTCACTAAGATGTCTTCCAAGAATCCCTTAGGCTTCCTAGTGCTCCGGTCGGCTAGTTGCAAGATGACACTACAATCTTGAAGACCACCAAGATTAAGGGAAGAATAAATGCGAGTGGGCATCACATTGATGGCTGCCCCTAGGTCAATCAAGGCTTCTTGAACAAACACATTCCTTATTTGACAAGGAATGGTATATGCCCACAGATCTCTACACTTTAGAGGGAGTTGTGGCTTGAAGACAGCACTAATATTAGGACTCATTTAAACTGTAGCCAATGGTTTGAATCCCTTTTTATTAGTGCACAACTCCTTCAAAAACTTTGCACACTTAGGCATGCTTTTTATCATCTCAAGAAGTGGTATGTTCACTTCCACCTTCTTCAATATATCAAACACATCATGCCTATCTTCTTCTTGCCCCTTCTTAGCAAATCTAGTCAAGGCCTTAGGGAATGGCATATCCCTTAGAATAGGGTCCCCAATTTGATATTCTTTTAGAGGCTCTCTTCTTCCCAACACCTCTTTCTCCTTAGCCTTGCTTGAATCATTCTCATTTGCCTTAGAAGATGGATGAACCGTGGCTGTTCCAGTACTGTCTTGGCCTTGATTTGAGCTCAATTTCACCTCTTTTTCTTGAGCATTCAGGGTTGATCTTGCTCCATTTGCATTCTCAACTACAATCTCTTCAATAGAGTCATCCTCATCATCAATCACTTAAGGACTTAGAGAAGTAGGAGGCATGTTCTTGAGGCTATGTGAGGCACTTGGATGCACATTTAGCTTGCTGTCACAGCAAGTAGAATCACGTGAATCAGCAAGAGAAAGTGGTCTTCCTTCACAAATTTGAGAATTTCTCGAAATAACCTCACTAGGCTTGCTGCCACCATGGTTTGAGGCACTTGGAATGGCTTCAAGAACTCTTCCACTCCTCAACTCAATTGCACTAAGGCTCTTTGGATTGATGACAGGTTGAGTTGGAAGCTTTCCACTTCCTTGAGCTTGGCTAATGCTATTTGAATTCCCAAATTGTTGTACCACCAAATCAGTGCTTTGTTGCTTTGATTCAAGATCATCTAGCCTCTTAAGCATCATGTCCATTTTCGATTCTGCCCTAGACAAATGAGAATCAAACTTTTGGCCCATAGAAAACATAGCATCACCCATCCTCTCAAGGTAGGAATACATTTGTTTATCACCTCCACCATCTTGAATAAGGATCACTTGAGTATTCTTGGTTTGCACAACCTCTTGATTACCCTTGTAGCTGAAGTTAGGGTGCTGCCTCCAACTTGGGTTTTATGTGCTCCCATAGTTAGCCTCAAAATTGTTCCTTGCCCCTTGATTATGTTGATAATTGTAGGATCTTTGTTGTTGATACATAGCCCCAACATCTTGAGCATGCATGCAATTAGAGGTGATATGCATTGTGGAATTGCATATACCACAAATAGGAGCCACTAGAACATTAGACATAGAAGCAATCTGAGCTTGTGGAGGATTGGAGATAGGCATCTTGAGAAAATCCAATTGAGAGTAGATATCCTTCAATTGGGAATTAGCAAAAGAAGATTAGCCCACTTGGTGAATACCCCTTGCATCTCTTGAGCTATATTGTTGGTTATTGTTTGTAAGCTTTTTCAACAAGGTCCATGCATCATCCAGTGGAAGATCTAATAGAGAGCCATTTGCAGCAGCATCTATGGTCTCTCTATCATGAATTTGCAACCCCACATGGAAATAATCAATGAGGAACTCCTTGCCCACATTTAGGTATGGGCACTTTGCAAGCAACTCAAGAAACCTCATCCAATACTCAAAAAGAGATTCTTGAGGGTGTTGTTGAATCCCCATGATTTTCTTCCTTAGTTTAGAATACTTGGTTGCCGAAAAATATTTTTCAAGGAAGCAATTTCGCATCTCCACCTAAGAATTGATGGTCCTTGTGGCAAGAGTATTGAACCATGTGATTGCTTTGTCCTCAAGAATAAAATAGAAGACCTTGAGCATCAAATTCTCCAAGTTTGCTGTGGGAGGCTTCATGGTTGAACAAACCCTCTCAAGTATTTGAAGATGCCTATTAAGATCCTCACCTGTAAGGCCATGGAATTTTGGCAAAACATTAATCAATGAAGGTTTGATTTCATACTCATTTTATTCTTGTAAATTTAAAAACAAGCCACTAGGTCTAAATGTGTCAGTGGGTGCTACCATCTCTCTAATACTCCTCCTAGCAAGTATTTCATGTTCATTACCATGCAATCTATCAGCCATACTGTCCAAAATCACAGAATTATCAACTATGGTGTTTGGAAGAGAAGAAGATGCTAAGAACTCTAAGTATTGATCTCTAAATTCAATATAATTTTCACCAAGTTTTTTCCAAGTCCTACAAGACAAATAAAGCTCAGAACACCACAGAAATAGCACTGGACCAAAGAAAAATCAAAAATTTGAAAGTAGGCAAAAATTCTGAAAACTGGCAGAATTGAAATACACTGAGGTAGTATTTTTGTAAAAAATTTTCGAACGTGAAAAAGACAAAATTAGCAAAAATTCAAAACTAAAAATTTAAAGCTAAAACACTGAATTAAATGCAGGAATTTTTATAAACAAAATTTCCAAACATGAAAAGAGATATGCTCATCCAAAATTAGCCCTGTCTACCTAGAGTGTCACTGGGAGTCAGCAGTGGACCCTATGTGCTTGTTTAGTGCACAACTCTCTGATCCCGAATCAAATTGAGCTGAACTTTTTACCTAAAACTTTCAACACACAGAAAGTTATACAATTCAATTTTCAAGAAAAAATTCGGAGTCAATTCTTCCCAGTATTTTTTCAAATTAGGGTCTGCAGCACGGGAATTTCCAGTGAACCCTGTTTCAGTCAAGCAAAATGTCAACCAACTTAATGGCCGAATTAGCAATTATGTTCAACAGAAAAAATGTTTCTAAGATAACCAGGAACACAATGAAATAAGAATCAGCTCAAAACAATATGTCTATCAAAAATTATACCTGTCCAAATTTCATGCAAAATTTCTGGACCGAGCAAATTCTCACAGCTTGCTGGCACTTGAGCTAACCTTGACAGATTTGGCTTCAACGTCTAGAATCAATACTATGGTGACTATATCCAGTAGCAAACAAACCAACAAGTGATCAAATGCTCAAAAAACACAAATCAGCCACCACAACACAAATTCCAAAATTAAGGCAAAATGTAAAACAAATTAAAATAGCAATTGAAATCACAATTTGTATGGCTAGTTGCTCCCCAGCAATGGCGCCAATTGATGAACCCTTTAGTCATCTTGGGTTATCAAATTTTACTAGAATGTAGGTATTTTAGGTCATTTCCCTAGAGAGCAAAGCATACAAATCATTGTTCAACTGCCAGAAATTAATCTGAACTTTCAAGTGACTAAACTAACTCTATAATGCAACAATAAATGTTTGTAAAATTCTGTTTTAGTTGGAATGACATGAATGATGATTATGGTGAGCCCAAGTCAGATTTCTTAACATTAACCATTGATTTCCAGAATTATAACATTATAAACCTTCTTGATTAACCTAAAATGAGATACTTAGAAACCTCTAAGTGTGGTGCACCATTAGACTCAATAAACACGAATGAATCTTGGTCAAGTGAATTTAGAAATTAACACTATATTCAGCCTTGTTCTACACAAGTTTCAGACCAAAACTAGTGGAAGAAAAACACCTTAAGTCAAATTCATATAACTAATATGGATCTAACTCAAGTCTACATAAGAACTTGAACAAGAATCAGCAAGAACTTATGAAATTACCCTAGAACATTAAGGTAAATCATAAATTCTAGAACAAAGAATAGCATGAAATATAAATTCAACATTCATATTCTCATCAAATCTGAATTAGAATCACAAAGTCTTCAACCAAAACAGGTTCAAAATTCAAAATTCTCAATTAATCAAGACAAGAACATGAAATCAAGAAAATGAACAATAATTACAAATCTGGAAATCTCATAATGTCAAGTCATCTTTCTTGGAGCTCTAAATGATCAGCCTCTCATGCTCTTCCTCTTCACTTGAATCAGACCTTGAGAAGCCTCCATGAATGTATGAAGATGAAGATGAAATGTGGAGATAAATGTGCGCCGGACGAAATCTGGAGGAGAAGAAGAAAATGGACGAAAATTTGGAGGAGAATGAAGGCAGCATTCAACCTGAATGAAGGAGAAAGGAGAAGAAATGATCTGGACAGTGAGAGGATGAGAAGATGGTGTGATCTGGACAAGAAGATGAGAGAACTGAATCTGGAAAATTGGAGAGTGAATATGAACGAAAATTGAGAGAGAATATGGCTGAAGTGAGAGAGTGGGATCTGAATTATGAGGCTCCAATCTGAAAATTCAGCTTATGTATGTGTGAATAATGTGAAGGTGATGAAACCAAAGTGAGTGGTGATAAAAACAAGAAAAATCCAGATCTGAAGTTGGTTAATTTCCAGCTGGAAAATGGAATTAATTGGCTGAAATTCTAACTGAATCTGGCACCTCATAACTGAATGAATGAGCATGGAAAATGTGACTTCATGCATGGGTAAAAACGTGACTCTCTCAGTTGGCTCATTTCCATGTGAATTTCCATGCATTTCAGAAATGATTCATGCCTAAATTGCTTCTCCCTTGCATCATGATGATGTCAGCTATTGCTTCCCATATGATCAGCTTCAATTCACGCCATTATGCACTTCTTTGTTTCCCTTGATGATGTCATCCCATGAATTCCTTAGATCAGATTATACATGTGCCCTTGACTTCTCCAAATTTGTTGACCAAGTCTTTGCTCCTTGATTCTAAGATTGCCCTCACACAAATCTAAAAATAAAGACACAAAACTAAATAAATTCTAAAAAGACAATTAAAAAGGAAGAAAATGAGAATTTAAGCCCAAAAGTCCAATCAAGCATCTTAAAGTCTCAAACCATCCGCCAAATAGCATTATTAGGGTCTAAGTAGTCAATGTGTGAAACATAGCTAAAAACAGGGAAACAAACCCTAATATACACTATTTGGTGCCAAAAACCAAGTGTATAACATGTAAAATATGAAGTAGATCAGTAACACATCTGCAAAAGGACTTAGGAGACTATATGTAACATCTCAAAAAAATTTAACTAAAGGATAATGGGTAATTACAGATAAATTAAACAACTGAGGGTTAACTTGGATTAAAAAGTAATGTACGAATGATTAATGGGTATACTATGTAACATCCTGAATTTCATTCTCAGAAACTAGTTGCTAATCAGGGGTAAATTAGTAATTAGTGGATTAATTGTGATTTGGATGTTGAGTTGATAATTTATGTTGTTTGGATGTTGTATTAATAGGATTGAAGGGTAGAAAGAAAATATAAGGCCTAACGTGCTAGCACAAGTGAGATTTTTCTCACTATGCCATACGCCACAATGCATGGTGCGGAATTTTTACTTAAAGGTTAAGTCAGATCGTGAAAAATAGAAAGAGAAAGAGGGGGAGACATGCATGAGAGGTGAGGAAGTTTGGGATCTGCTAGGGCATGCCATAACTTGAGGTCTAAAGTATACTTTAATTAGTAACTTATTCAGTAAGTAATGTACAGCCCTATACTTCAATTCTACCCCTTTTTCATTGAATTTCATCAATTGAAAAATCAAATCATAAGATTTTGAGTTGTTGTAATCTAAAAGAAAGGGTCAAAATGGGATATCGAATACAAAACTAAGGTTTTATGACTAGTATAGAGTTGAATAGTTGTGCTTTAACCATTTAGGCTTAAAATGACCTAAAAGTTAGGACAATAGGATGAAATTAGTGGAATGAATGTGTTAGGACTTTGTTATGGTTGTTTGAGTGGCCTATAGGGCTAATGACTATGAATAATGAATAAGTGGATTTAAAAGGGTTCGATTGAACTATTTCATACGTTAAATGATTTAGTTTAGCCAAATCAATGCCAATGAATTGTGTTGAGAATTGACTGAGGGGTACTGTGTTATGTAGATTGAGCACCTGTGAAGTTGCTCGTGAGAATCTGTGCCCCTGGGAACTTAGTATGATTGGTAACCCTTAGTAGCAAGGGTCAAAGGTAACTAAAGTAACCCTTTTACTTGTTTGTTTATGAAATTACTTGTAAGTATTTTGATATAACTATGTGTATTGTATTGTGAACTGATAGAATGGCAGCATTGTGAAATTATATACATGTGGGTAAGCGAGTATTGATTGAAATGAATTTAAAGTGGCACGTCCACTGACATGTATCGCATTTGCGAGATATACCTTGGATTATGGTAGGGTGATGTGGCTCTACTATGAGGAGGTCCAGGAAGTCCTGTTGATCCATAACATAGAGCTTGCCTCTGCCAAGATGGACCTAGTAGAAGAATCTTGACGATCCAGAGCTTAAAGCTTGACTCCACCATGACGGACTTAGGAAGAAGACACTATATATGGCTAGTTTAATGGTGTAAGAGTACAGCTTAATGGAGTCTTTTATAGATTCTTAACAAGATATACCATTGAAGGCTCTAGTTGGTGCCTATACTATTGTGCCTATAAATCATGTGATTTTTAGAAAGAGTTGAGGATGGCGCAGCTAGAAGATAAGTATCTTCTTATGATTTGAGAAGAAGTTGAATCGAATTTGTCTAAAGAATTCAACTTTAATGATGATGGATATGTGGTATCCCAGGATAAAATTTGTGTGCCTAATGATACAAACTTAAGGAAAGTGATTGTGAATGAAGCTCATTGTAGAAAATACACTGTTCACCTGGGAGCTACGAAGATGTATTAGGATGTGATGCATTGTTGGTGGT